CTGTGTCCTGGTGAATGTGGGTTACTGGGCTGACTGCATCGATATTCTGCATCACCTGATGTTCACTTGTCCCTCTCATACAAGAAAGTAGACTTAGTTTGAGCCTCTTGAATATCATCTGATTCCCCAAACTTTCTTTTTCTTTTACCCTAACTTTCAATTTCTTTGTCAGTGTCAAATTTCTTTCATTATATTGAACATTTACAAGTGCAGTTAACTAAACATGCTTAAGAAAAGATATATTTATTCAATATAAGGCCTGACAGTCAAATGTGTAGAAAGATGTAATGTATAAGAAAAAGCTTGGATCTTTTTTAGTAGAAATGCATTTTATTTTATTTAGGGGGAGTGCTTCCTGGGAAGGTACTATATTACCATTTATTACCTACGAGGGCGAAAATATCGGGTTCATATTTGTCATACTATGCCCTAGGGCGAAATATCACTTGTGACGTCATGAACAAAGCTATGACATCATGTTTCTTCTATGATGTTGCATTCTACATGCGGCTACGCCGGGTAGCCCATAAGTCTCTGTTTGAAAGTAGATTTGGGTTTATTTTCCTCAATTTGACGACTTCGGTAATAAACAAAATATTATATTCATGCCCATATCATACTATGTTTACCCCACTCAAGCCTATCGCTATCGCTCGTAAATGCCAAAATTTAGGCACTCGTGTCGTAAACATAGTATGACATGGGCACTCATATAATAATCCTCTATATATGTTACTATATGACTACAATCAATATTGTTTTACCTGTTTCATTAGATTATCAAAATAAATCTAAGGGTTTATCAGTGCAAACAGTGGAAAGGTGATCATGTCTTCATGAAATAGGATTAGTCTACATAAAACATACAAAGTCACCACTGAATCTGAGTCAGCTGAAACTAATGACAGTGGCACTATATTTGCAGGTGCATGATGCAGAGATAAGTGATATTGTGAACATGACTTATTCCAACCAAAAACTGAATATAAATGTCAGAATCAATTCTGTCTGGGAAAATATATTATCATATTAGGTTTCACTCTTCATTCCTAGTCAGCCTGTGGTTACATGGTGTGTGCTGGATGCACATGTATTCTGTGCATATACTTTGAGGGTGGTGGGGTAGCCTTGTGGTTAAAGCATCTGCTCGTCACGCTGAAGACTCGGGTTCGATTCTCCACATGGGTAAAATGTGTGAAGCCCATTTCTGGTGTTCCCCGCTGTGATATTGCTTGAATATTGCTAAAAGTGGCGTAAAACCATACTTCTTTCACTCACTCAGTCACTCACTATTATCGACAGGGAGACTATATAAGGGAGAGTGGTCACTCCTTGGAAAGCCCCTTAGCGTATGCCTCGGCTCGTCACGTGACCAGTGTAGCCAATATGGCGGCAGCGTAGTTTTTAAGATTGAGCCCGGTTTATTTTCAACAGCTGATTACATACGCTGAGTGTTGTGACAACTGAAAACCTACATGTAGAAGATAAGTTACCTATTCTGTCACTTCATTTTAAGTCAAATAATTGTTATTAGTGTCAGTATTAGTACAGTAGATTTGTAGTAAAGTTTCAAGTCGGCATGTTGTAGCTCACTGGTTTCAATTCTCAGTACACAGCGAAGAAAGACTAAATTATATCGCTAAAAACTTCTTTCACATATTCGTTTAAGTTTTAGAAGGGAAATATACCTTTAGTTGAAAGGTGTTTGCAAGTAATAGTGATAGTTTTATAACTAAAATTTTTTTATTAGGGTGTATTTGAGGTGTGTGAAAAATATGACATATCGCCGATCTGCCATTGAAATACTACAGGGTGTTGTTTGAGTGTTTCTAGTTATTGTTCTAAAACATCTTTCACATACACCTTCAATTTTTATGAGGGGAATATACCATCAGGTGAAAGGTGTTTGCAAGTAATAGTGATAGTTTTATAATTAATTTTTTTTTGTTGGGGTGTATTTGAGGTGTGTGAAAAATATGACATATCGCCGATCTGTTCTGATCCGCCATTGATGCTTGTGATGCTTGAGTGTTATAGTTCTAAAACTTCTTTCTTTCTTGTTGATCTTAGTATGTGACAAAACTGGAAAGGTGTTTACAACGCTTTGTGATAGTTCTAAACTTTCTGTTTTTGAGGGGGGGGTGACAGTGTCAGTTAACATTCTGTCAATGCCCATGCCATTCCACACATGCAATAAGATATCAGAATTAGTTACTAATGTAAAAAAATGTCCCAAAGTAGTTTTTAAAAAAAAGGACTGCTGATGTTAACACATGTGTTCTACCGATAGTTTTGCGTTCTTTAACATGTTTGGGGAGGGATGGCCGTGGTGTATCATTTATGCTTTCATTCATTCACATATGTATTTCTTTCTTTTGTTCTTTTTCTTTATTTCTTTCATTCATTCACATAAAAAATTCTTGCTCTTAATTCATTCATTCATTCATTGTAAAATTCAGACTGATACAATACACTGGCTGAAGTACTGTTAAACGCAGCCGAAGTTGCGCTGGGAACGAACCAAGTCACTGTGTGCGTTGGAGCATGATGAGGCACACGTTAATTAGTACAAATGGTAAAGAAAGCAAGCGAGTGGCCTATCCCTGTTGTAGATTATCCCTGCTAACGCTAAAGAGCTTGATAATCGTTTACTAAATATCGACTGATTGTTGATAAATTTCGGCGAAGCAACTTTATGCAAGAATGCAATATATGTCCTAAAGAAATGAATATATTTCTCCTCACTGGTGAGTAGTTGCATGTTTTTGCATGGATTATTGACAAAAACACATCCTGAACATACTTTAGAAGCAGACCATGAATAAAGTCCTAAATTTGTATGTTGTGTGAAAAACTTAAACTTTTTCCATCACAGAAGTTAATGTGGGATATTAAAGATAACACAATTATTATTATTATCATTGATAATTTTTCCTATTTTCAATATTTACGATTGCTGACCATTTTAGCGAGCCCTAATTCAAGTGGTTTGTTCACTAACAGTTACTGAGCCCCCAAAATAATACTACTAACTGAAGGCCCCAAATGTGACTACTGACTTGTTAAAACCCCCCATGAAGACCCTCATGGATACACAGTGATTATTCCATGTGTATGTCATACAGCTGTTGGTAGGGACGGCTGGTGACACATTGTGTCTCAGGTTGATGAGGATGCACTAACACATTACTATAGTTAGTTAATTAACGATCTCTAAAGTGTAATTTTTGGAGTCTCACATAGCATGATAATGGTGCTGTCCACAGTTTACTCTCATTCTGCCTACATCTCAGTAAATACAGACACAATACAGACAGAATGAGATGTAGGCAGAATGAGAGCACACCCTGTCCACAAACTGTCACGTACTGAATTCTCTCAATGAGTTTAAAAAGAGGTTCTTGTATTGGGATTTGCCAGTTTGAAATGAGGACACATACTGTAAAGTGTTACAGTTTATGATCACTTCTTTGAGAGGCATTCAGAAGTTGGAGGACAGCCTCCGTGGTGTAGTGGTTAGAGTGTCCGCCCGGAGAGCGGAAGGTCGCGGGTTCGATCCCTGACCGCGTCATACCAAAAGACGTTAAAATATGGTACTTGTTGGTCCCTGCCTGGCTCTCGGCATTAATGGGTACAAGGACTGGTCGGCTCGGAGTCAGTATAATGTGTCTGAGTGGGGTATTCATGCTTCACTGCGGCATGGTATCTCAGTGGGCTAGCACTATAAAACCAGCTTCAGTCTGGGCTAGTACAAGCAGTCGCACCTACACATACACATGCATGCACGTCGTCATATGAGCGAAATATTCTTCAGCGCGACGTTAAACCCAATTTCACCTCACCTCAGAAGTTGGAGCAGTAAGGAAGGATAATAACAATATATGGATGAACAACTTCTTTATTGCTGTGAGAGCGACATTTCGGTGTAGGTTCTAACACTGTTATCACTCGTTTGTTAATAATGGTGTTAGAACCTACACCGAAATGTCACTCACAGCAATAAAGAAGTTGTTCATCCATATATTGTTATCCTTCCTTAGGTTATGATCAGTCCAAAAGTCTGTGATGTTATTAGGGGTAATGTTGAATCATATGACAAGACCTTATGTGAAACAGAATGCAAAATTAATTGTTGTTGTCACTGACCTCCTTGTCTCTTCTTCTCCAAGAGTGAGGTAATATTGTAATCACTACCTTGCAGTTGTCATGGTAATATACTCAATAAATGTTTTTGTACTTTACACACCCAAACTAAGCAATTCAGTTTGTCTGACTTTACTTGCATTGACATCCTTCTTTAACACATCTGAACTATTTAGTTATAATTGATTCCTTGCTCTGCTGTGGCTAAACAGAGCCTACATTTCTAATGAAGTATTCAATTTAGAAAAATAAAATAATGTAGTGACATGTTTTTATCCAGATTATTATTGAACTTGGACATTCTTTGTTTTGCCTCCTAAAATATCCAGTTATTGCATAAGCAGTTAGTGTACATCTAAAATCAATAATATTTAATCATGTACATTCCACCTCGCTTGAGGAAATAAACAATCTATACACGTGTAAAAACAAAAAAATCTGACATTTTAAAAACCCCAACTTATTTGTGTCTCTATCTCATTTAAATACTTTGTTATGTATATTTAGTAACAGATGTTATTTGTGATTAGTTTGAGGTTTTAAAAATTCAAGTGACTGAGAGAGAGCTCCGAGCCTCTTTGAAGATATTCAACCGTGGCAATATTCTGCAGCCAGGAGAAACCATTGCAAATTTATATAGCTACCAATGTTACTCACAAATTATACATTGTAACCTAAGTGCAAGACGTTGATTCAGACATTTTTAGTGCTCAAGACTTAAACCACTGAATACCGCCACTCAGCATATATACAGTTGACATTAGTTTCACATTAAACATAACTTGGTTAGTTGCTCTACCTCAATGAATTATGCAAGCACCGTATCCGTGATTAAGCAAGTAATACTTCTGTTTCAGAGAGAGGTATGGACGTGACAATGTCATTCTAACGGACATCAACAAGGCTCCCAAAAATATTCTCAAAAGCGGTAAGTTTGCATGATAAGTCCCCCTTGATGGGGAGAGTTTCCCCATTTCTTCTTGTTTATACCATATTCTACCATAGTTACGTTAATTATAATTGAAAGAAATGTTGTGAAAAATAGACGTCATTCAGTTTGCATGTGAGGGAAATCCTTAGATAAGTTACTGATTCAAGAATATTGTTCTGTAACTATGGTTCTAAAACTATTGTTTTGCATCTATTGTTCTATAACTATTGTTTTGCATCTATTGTTCTGTAACTAATGTGCTTGTGTTGTTCTGCATCTATTGCCCTGCAAATATTATTCTGTAACTATTGTTCTGTAACTATTGTTCTCAAATTATTGTTTTGGCAGGACCATTCCTCTTTGCCGATGTCCTGAACCTCAAGAGTCTTCGGGAGATTGTTGTGAACTACGAGGTGGATTGGCTGGTTCACTTCGGGGCCCTGCTGAGCGCCATCGGGGAGCAGAATGTGCCCCTGGCTATGCAAGTCAACATTGAGGGCCTCCACAATGTCCTCGAGGTCTCCAAACAATACAGGCTCAAACTGTTCATTCCAAGCACAATTGGTAAGATTTGGATCCGACATTTAGCATGTCGTGTGGAGAATTAATCTTCCCTGACCATATCCCAATTTTCAGTTTAGCTCAGTTGTAATTAATAAGTAAATTTTAATTATAGTCTTGGTAATTGAGAAACTATTCATATTGTGTACCAATGTATTTTATGCAAAACCGTGAGATTTGTTTGTTTATTGTTTAATTGTGCACTGAGACTGCAGTCATAGAGCTGGAATATTGCTGTCGGTAAATAATTCCGTCTATACCAGACAGTCTTGTTACTGACATCATCAGTATCAATATACACAACTGATATACGATGACCTGCGTCAACCAAGTCAGCAAGCCTGCACACCAGATCACGTTGATCGCCTTTATGAGAAAGAAGAGTTTCTGAAGACCACTTGTAACTTGTATTTTCATGAGAGCCAAACCATTCGGAACTGCAGTTTCTACCAATGTATGGCATCAGTTTTGTCACAATCCATGTGTAACTGTTTCAGACTGCAGTTGTTTGTATGACTTTCAATTCTGTCAGAGACTTTAAGACTACTATTGTTATTAAAGGTGCATTTGGCCCCGACTCCCCACGGAACCCGACCCCTGATCTCACCATCCAACGTCCACGGACTATCTACGGAGTATCCAAGGTGCATGCGGAGCTGATGGGAGAGGTAAGCTCCAGTTCTCATACACGCACATAATGAAATAATAACATCAAACTGTCTTCACCAGTCTCATCAAAATCAAATATGATACTTCAGTGTAATAACTGCCTCTACAGAAGGACCAAGAACATAATTAATTGTTACAAATGTCCCAAAATGTTATTTGATGTTTCTGTGTGGTGTTGAAATTGAGGTGGACCCTTAAGTCCATAACACAGTCAGTGTTTGGTTGTGTGAATTACACTTGTCAATGAAGTAATTGATTAAGTTTCTCTCAGCTGTTACATGTGTTACATACAACTTCAGATGAAATAGTTTCAGTCCAAGATGTTACATAATGTGGCTTGAGACTCTGTTTGAGATAAAAACAATTTATACTTCATATAGCTCAAGCAATATATGAAATTTATCTTCAGTAATAAATCTTTCACTTTCTACAATATTTACAAAGTTATTAAGTGTGTATTTCCCAAATCAGCTGCAAGTTTTAACTTACTACATCAGAAATTAGTGGTACATAGTCTCAGATTTACAGGGATAGGGAATTCAACATACTTTTCTACATGTGACAGGGATCTAAAATGCTTATAATAAAAGGAGTAAGATATACTGTTGATAGAACTACACTGTGATCGTTGAAGGTTGCCATTGCATCATTACAGTTACTGCTACAGTCCCTGAATAACGCATCCTAAAAATGAACCTTTTAATTTTAGGTCTAATACAAGTACGCCTTGGCATGCTTGTTAATTTTGAACATTGTTTCTGTGTAGTATTACAACCAGAGGTTTGGCCTGGACTTCCGCAGTCTCCGATTCCCTGGAGTTATCTCGGCTGACACCAAGCCAGGCGGTGGCACCACGGGTATGACTGTCTTTATGCTTGCTGTTATATGTTAATACTTGCCGTTATATGTTAATTCTTCCTGTTATATGTTATATGCCTGATATATTAACCGTTTTGCTTTAATGGTTTAGAATTATGTGGTTAATATGTCTATCCTATCCTGCACGGTTAAAAATTACTGAATAACCATTTTAAAACTTGTCCTAGGAAGGATCAAAGTCACCCTGAACATTTTTAAATTATGATAAAAGGGAGACAACTAGTTAGGAAACGGAATATAACTGAACAATGCTTTTTTTGTAAAGTGTAGTGTATGGTTTTTAATAGCAAAATTATTCATGGCAGATTATGCAGTGGAGATATTCCACGATGCCCTGAAGACCGGGCACCACCGCTGTTTCCTGGGACCAGACACCCGACTCCCAATGATGTACATCGATGACACCCTCCGGTCAACGGTCAACTTCATGGAGGTGACCAGTGAGAAGCTGTCCATGCGGACTTACAACGTGACGCCATGAGCTTCACGCCAAGGGAGATTGCAGAAGAAGTGAGAAAATACGTCCCTGAGTTGGAAGTCACCTACTCCCCAGATGAGAGGCAGGCTATTGGTTAGTATGCATGGCTTCTAGAGATAGTGAGTTGGTAGTTGTGTTCCGATGATCGAAAAATCGTCAAAAATCGATCGTAAAAAGGATTAAAAATAATTATTGATTGTGAAAAACATATTTTCCATTTTTCTGTTTTAGTATAACACACTTGAATGAAGTAAACTAACCATTAAATTTGACCAATATTCATGAACAAACTTGTGTTTAACAGCGTAAAGCTATGTGCATTGTAAAATTTAACCACTTTTATTTTTTAATTACAATTCAAGTGTATTTCTTGCATGTGCATTTCATTGACGGTATTAATTATAAAAATCATTAATTAGAAAAAAACTGGGGAAAAACCCTTAAAGTTTGTGATTACATTAAAAATGTATATATTTTGATTATAATCGATAATCATTCACCACAAGTCCTCCAATAATCGATAGTGGATTTGATTTCTGATTCCCAACACTATGAGTTGGGCAGTCAGTTGTTTAGTAGTGCCTTCCACGCCTTCTTCACAGACAATAGTGTGAGAGAGGGTGGGGAGGCAGTGTATTGGTAGGTACATGTATTGCCTTGCAGTTAGGGAGTTGGGTATCATTGGAAAGTTAGAAAGTCATGCACAAGTACAATTCCGATTATGGATGCAATTCTATTTGGGTCCAGTGGAAATACATCAATGATTATATTATTAAAAGCCAAAGCTAACACCATGAAATGCTATTGATAGTTTTAATGTAAACTTATAACCACTTCAGATATACTTTCAAAAAATTTCAAATAGGAGGTACCTTCCTGTCATTCTTCAGAAACAAAGTAATGACGGTGTTGAGGTTGATACCATGTGGAATACATTTTTGTGTGTGTTTTAGCTGATTCCTGGCCCCAAGTTTTGGATGACACCAACGCTCGCCAGGACTGGGGATGGAGCCATCAATATGACCTGGAGTCAATGTGCCGTGTGATGTTCGAGAAGCTCATCCCACAATACAACCAAGTGGATGATGCTAAATACGCAGAAACAGAGACAGAGACAGTGAAAAGAGAGGCCCTTTAAGTTGTTTGTTGGAGTTGTCTCCCCTGCAGAGTGGAGTTATCTCCCTTTGTCATGTGGGGCTGCCGAGTTTCAGTGCTTGTTCTTTGGAGGAAGTACGTGTGACCAACTGGTGGAAGATTGTGTGTTTCTTGTGGAATCTTGTGTGTGTTTCTGTGGAATCTCACAAATACAAGTTCTGAAGCACACAGCATTGCAAGACATTTTCAGGAAAAACCTGAGTGTGCTGGAAGCAGCTGATGGGTATTCCAAGTAGATAGATAAATGAATGTGCAATTATATATGTACATTCACATTCAATTTTGACATAATAGTTTTACTGTTGTGATGGGACTTTAATTGTATTGTAATATATGAATAGTTGAAGCTGAATATTTTATTTTTTGCAAATAATTATTTTAACAAAGGAATCTCTAATGCTGAATCTATGTTACAAAAGGGTACTTTTTAAATATGTTTTATGATAGTCCATATTTTACTCATAGATTTATTGGTTTTTATGCCTGTTTGTTTCACACTAAAGTTGTAACCTGTCTCTCTGTTATTTGTTCAGATTACTTTAAGCTTAAGTGTGTGGGTTTTTTGTTTTATTGTATGAGTTTTCTGATTATTTATGTGTTTATGTCAGGTAATTTCTTTCCAGCCATTGAAGTGACATGACTGTTATTACACTTGTGTGCTTTAGCAAAAGGGATGTATTTATATACACAGATACAAATTCCGGAGCAGTGTCAGCTTTGTGGTGGGAGGGGATTAATGGTGCATTTGGTATTATTCCAACAATATCACACTTGTAGTTAATGTGGAGCTGTGGTCACTTATGAAGGTTTATGTGTTATACAATAGTGTGACATAAAGGGAGACAACTACTACATATTACTTTAAGATTTTTATCAATGTGACAATACTTCTGTTGTTATTTTATGATTCTCAAGGTACAATGAGAACTTTTAAACTGGCAATTGACAATTCTATTTTATCCATGACAACTGACTAATGAGGTTTAGAATACATTTGTATGTTGATGTGGAGCAGTATGTAGAAGATTTTAACAGAAACAACATTTATATCTTCCTGAGGTAAGGAAGTTCACTATAAAACTCCAGTTACCCCTTGCCAGACAAGGCTTTAACTTGGTCATAGGGCCAACAGTGTCTGTTTAGATGTCCATCTGTTATCCCTCCTACTGGAGAATATCATTCTGTCTCTGATATCACACATTTTAGTTTATAAAAATGGCGACACTCAGTCAAGATGATCTGATCAAATTTATAATCAATGAAACATTTCACATTCCATGACACACAGTCATGCAGTTTACCGGTATGTGGATTGCAGCACAACATTTGAGCACTTAGAATCAGGATTAAAATCATCAGTAAAAGTGAGTGAGTTTAATTTTACGCCGCTTTATCAATATTCCAGCAATATCACGGCGGTATACACCAGAAATGGGCTTCACATATTGTACCCATGTGGGGAATCGAACCCGGGTCATCAACGTGACAAGTAAATACTTTAACCAGTAGGCTACCCCACTGCCCCTTTAAAAAATTAAATGCTTTGGAAAATATATGTTGATGGCCAGTTGGTGTGCACATATATTGCTGTAACAGCTGAAATCTGCATGACAATTGCCATGTTGTTTACAAACATGTCAATTTCATCATGCAATTTTGATTGGACAATATGTACACTTGTTTTTCCATCCAATATGGGACTCAGAAATTCAAGCACAGTTTGGCAAGTTTGGACTTCACAGTCAGTGAACCCCCTTGCCTTTGGAAGATACATAATGTTGAGTAAGAGTAACTTTAATGTTTGTAAGTTTCAATTTTACCCATTTACAATTTTAAATAGGTCACTTTTTAACACAGAAGGTTAGGAATATTATTTTCTTGGTGTTGTATTATGCCATCTCAAAGCCATATATACCTGTATCATGTGGTGGATTAGTTGTACAATCAATTCCACACCAGTTGTTGTTGACATGATATATACACTGTATTTGTTTGTGTATCCTGTGCACCGTTCATTGTCAAATACAAGTTTTTGGTAATACTGCCATGTTATATATATAATGTCCGGTCACCATCTAATTTCAGGGTAACATACAGGATATAGCAAACTTGATCAATGAAATCTGATAGTTGAGATAAAACATTCTGAGACAAGATTATGTTCTTCAAAGTTTGATCTCACTGCAGATATTTTCTGTACTTATGAATTTGATTCAGTGGAAATCAGAAGTTTGCGATAAAGAGTTATCAGACAAGACTATTTTGTGTACGTTTGGATCTATGCTAGTGTTTTAAGTATATGTGAATTTGAAATAAGATTATTTTCTGAAGTAATTAATATCCTTTGGTTAGTCAATTACATGAAAATCAGATCTTTGTTTTCTCTACTGCTAAGCAAAGTGGTGGCAAGAACAAAGATCACATTTTAATGGGATTGATGCAAAATATGATTTTGAGTTTCCATGTTCGTTAGGTTTATCTTTTATTCTATTATATAAATTTTTGGGTAAGGGGGTTCTACATTTTCCTTGTTTTTGTCACAAAAAGGATGTATGTAATAATTGTATGTGTACATGTTTTTGAACAAAATATACATGTTTAAGCCATACATATCACTCCACACTGATTCTCTGAGGAGAAGTACAAGGTATATGTCATAATGCTCAATGTGGATTGTTATTATTCTATTTTTCTATTTAATGGAGGATTAAGAAGTCTCACATTGTTTGGTTGATTTCAAACTAAAGTAGGATGTATTTTTGAGATCTCAATATGAAATACATGTATATTTAACCATTGAATTCCCGGTGATTAGTGGAAAAACAACGAATCTTAACATGTACTTCAGCAATGTTGCAGCCAGTTGTGACTTACTGATGTACTGTGTGATAAGCTACTGCTTGCGTCTCAGTTACATGATGTATTCAACACTAATGATATGATATACATGGAAGATATATGTTATTTGCTGATTTTGCACAACTGAGGCAAATGAAGTGTCCATTTGATCAGTACAGGTTGGGAGGGAATTCTTTTAGAACAATCTCTTGTTTCCCAGCTGTATCCAACAAATCATGTATTGACTGAGCACCAAACTATCTATTCATTTTCACTATTAACACATAGAAATGTGACATTTGAATTAAATTTCCACAAAACAATATATTCATATTTTTTTTCAAAATAGCCAAGGAAGTATTAATTTAGGGAATATTTCTGAATAAATTTCATTTAAAACGTTTTCCTCCTTCCTGTAAAGACATACAATGGTTGGATGATATTGGCATTGTGGGTAGGATGACAGGCTGTCAACAAAGACAATAAAAAGAATCTCACCTCTTAAGGCCAGAATAGGTTGCTGAGGACCTATTCTAACCCCACATTTGGTTTAAACATATTTTTATTCATGAAAATGAATTGGGATTGGTGAACAAGCTTTTTACATTTACTTTTTCTCCTGGGGATAATGTACCGTGCATCATTGGTGTCAGTTCAACAGTGACTTCAAAAAGCTTTGTTGTTACAAATATATTTATAATCTGTATGATCTTTTCATGAATATTGACCAATATATATCTTGTAGAGTGTACAAGAATTTGGCTTGAGTATGCATATGTTTGACAGGGTAGTGACATATATGAACCTGTGAACTAATCAAGCCTATCATGTTTATTCTCTTTCGTTTGCTTTAGTTATTTTACATATGAAGTTGACAGAAAAATATGAAGGTGAGAATTAAATATAAAGCTGACAATTTTTTAAAGGTTGACTGTTTCTGAGTAGATGTTATCTCGGGATCCTGTCAACAAGACACTTTACAGCTTTATGAATTCCCCATCAATACTGTCTACAGACTGATGACTTCTGGGGCTACTTTACAAGCAGACAAAGCCTATCAAAACAGTTGTTCTCTACAAATTCTGGGGTACATATTTGAATCTGTATACAAACATTTACATTTACTAGCAACACCACTGTTTCCTTGCTTTAAGCAAGGATGGAAAACAGCACCTAAGAATTGGACTTTCTGTTAATATTTTTATTATTATTATGATTTCTATTTAGCAAAGATTTGTTTCTTTTTTGTTCATTAATTGTGGGTTCATTTGGAAATGGATTTTATTCTGACCATCTACATATTATTTTGAGCCATGAATAGTTTGAACCAACTTATAAGAAATGAAAAGCTTTAGATTTCATGTATCGGATCTCATTAAATGTTATGTTTTACTCTAATGATTTGATACCTGTTTCCAGAGAAAGAAACCGAGTGACATTTTTAGAGAGAGAAATGAAGTGACATATTTTACTCTGATTTGAAACCTCCCTGCAGAAGGCGGTATGGAAAGAGATCTTATGCTGTTTGTGTATCTTACACAGCCAAACATTTATGAACTGTTTTGCTCTTCATCATTGACACAGAACCAATCTATGTGATATTGATGATTTATTTCTTTTAAGCTGGTGTTTACTTGATGCTTTATCTATGGGAACACATATTTTTCTGTCCATTTAGACAATATCATGTTTGGTGATTATGGAAATAAAGAATAGCAAACTGCTATGTTGTATGTTTGTGTTAGAAGACTGGTATGACCGCACCCCATCAGAAGCTTCGGTCTGCAATGTGTCGTGAAAGAAGTATTTTACAGGCGCTTCATAAGCTTAGTCTTCGCCTACCATTGACGCACATACAAATTCAGATAAACAAAATAATGACAATTACATGTATATAGCGAGAATGCCAGGAACATCGGAAAGCATCTCTATAAGAGGTTGTCCACTGAAAGGTGTCTTTTAGAGAAAATTCACTGTATTTTCAAGTTTGTTTTGCGATAATATTTTGTGGACGTGTCGGCGATTAGGGGATCGTACCTCCCGTATTGCCGTAACATAACGTTATGATGATCGAAGCGCTTGGTAAATAGTTGACATTAGGACAGTGGAGGACTGCAAAACAATATGAACGGGGAAACATTATACAGCATAAGGGACTGAGGGAAGGATCGGAGGCTCCATGTTGGTGTTATCAATCCAAACGTTTAGGGCCACTTCATTTTCACCCGCTCGAAGCTCACACGCCTAGCTATAACTGAACTTCTGTTGAACCTGAGTTTTAACCAGTCATAATTAAATTGATTTCATACATCTCATCTCCGCCGAGCGGAAAACGGTCGTTAAATCCCCGCTCGCGTCATACCGAGAGATGTTGAAAGATGGTATTTGTTGTTTCCCTGGCTATCGTTCGACATTAGGAATTAAAACAAGGACTGATTGGAATCAGTATGTATCTGTTAGGCCTGGGACGGGTCCACATTTTCTACCCGGGTACCCCACCCCTTAGTACCCTACCCTACCTGGATACCCGTTAGGTTAATTCCTGACATCAAATTTGTAAGAAATGGCAATACATTCTTCAGCTCGGAGGCTAAAATTTCGAGTTTTTCAATATCTTAACCATGTATTGTATTCAAAAGAGTGCTTGCAATTATGTCTAAATCTTCAAAGACAATACAGCTTTTTAATCATGAAAGAATAACATATTACATTGTGTAATCCATTTGTCATAACGAGCCCAGTATTGAGATGGGCACGCATTACCCACCCGTCCCGGGTATGCGAGTTACCCGTCCCAGCCCTAGTATATATTTGTCCTTAACACCTCAGGAGTAGCACTAGTGCAAAGAAGCACGCACATGCACACACACGTGCTTAAAGGTCGCTACAAAATTGAAATAATCCTGAATATCAGCCCTCCGCGAATAACTGCAATACTAAGTCACGCACGCGCGCATGCACACACAGGCAATAGGCCAGTGATATTCTAACCTGTACATGTGTTACTTTCTAACTTTTTGTTGCAACCAACAACTAAAAAAACCGACTAGGAAAGAAACAATTGCGCGCGCACGCACGCACGCGCGCACACACACACACACACACACACCTCTGAATAGTCTAGTAGGAAACATTCATTAGAAAATATCCAGTATCCTATATTCTTGCTGAACGCATGTCATTAACTGTGCTGCTTTGCCCCACGAGGTTCAAATACATAAAAATGTCAATTGTAGATGATAGCCTCCGTACAAAATACTCTCCATCAAAGGTACTTATGCTTTTATTGCTCGTTGTTTTATTGCCTTGTGTTCTGTGCTGCCAGCCTAGTTTAGAAAGCTGGGGCTGACAATGTGCCAGAGGCATTAGACATTATATTCATTACGATAACATCTATATTTCGCCATATCAATGAGTTCCAAAAAACAAAAGTAGCATCGCTTCAGGCTAGTAGCCTAACCTCAAAACCTACATTGGCCGCCATCACTGACGGGTGCGGATTCCCATACAAAAATACTTCAATAAATATAGAAAATACCAGTAAAAGGATGTTTGACTGACTCGTTTCATTTTAACCGAGTGTAGGCCTGCTGAAATCGGTTCGCTGTTTGACAGATTCGTTGTAACACTTATAGACTAAGGCTTAGTCTCTGAACATATGTAATTTTGATTGTAACAAGTAAACCCATTTAAATTGAAAAGGAGCCCCTGGGAGACCAGAACCTGGGGAAATCTAGACTTGCACCATTTAGGCCTTTGGCATTGCAGGGAGGGCCAGGCAGTAAGGAATATAATAATGTGGTTCAGGGACTGAGACAGATGATTATAATACTTAGAGCATTGGGCGGTAGGTGGTTAGGATCAGTCGTATTGAATAGTGACTTTATCTCTTGACAATGTGGTCAAACATGGACCATGGTAGAGAATGAATCACTGCACCCAGGGGTCAGGGTGTTTGTCTGTCACTAAAAATTAAAAAGCGCGGGTTCTATTCCCAAGCCAAATACACCTGGTTGAACCATATCAGTTTCTTCTCCTGACTATATGGCTTACTATGAAGGAGTGAGTGATCATCAGTTAAATAATCAAACAGTGAATAAATAATCTAATGTAAGGAAAGCAGTTTTCTCTTATGAATTTTGGAGGTAAGCAAATCCGTACCGTGTTCGAACAACGTACGCGTGAAGGTCCGGGTTAGAATTGGTCTTCAGTAACCCATGCTTGTCGTAAGAAGTGACTAACGGGATCGGGATGTCAGGCTCACTGACTTGGTTGACACATGTTATCGTGTCCCACTTGCGTAGAACGATGATCATGCTGTTGATCACTGGATTGTCTGGTCCAGTCTCGATTATTTACAGACCGCCACCATATAGCTGGAATATTGCTTAGAGCGGCGTTAAACAACAAACCAAACCCAAACGTTTTTGTGATTCAAAATAAAGTTATCTCCAGAAATGCATTTAAATTCATATACATGTATCATGGATGTGAGAAAGGCAATATCAAATCAAATGGTGCACCATCTTCACGACTTATAAATACCAAACGTTCAACGCTTTCCAACATGGCCGCCTGACAAGCCCCGATTTAGGTATAGTAACGTGTTTTCAAGAAAACCAAAATAACAGGTTTTCCAAACGCATATACGTATCTTCACCTAGATCTCCAATTTGAAATACGTCTTGTTTTGTATTGCAGACAAGCTGTCAAGATTTATGTTCTTTAAGATTGACCACCGTGACAATTAATTCTATCCAAACTCACTGTCACTGTTCTAATGTGCACCCTGTATAACATTGAATGAGTTTAATGGACGCAACTTGGTGACTCACCCGGCGTTGTGAATCAACCCTCTATGTCTTCCACCAGACCATGTCGAAACTGACATCAAAATGTCACTTTGTGTTTATGATTGGCACTTCTCGGAGTGTAGCACCTGATACTTGACTCTTGTAATCATTCCGTCTGTCGCTTCAAGCTATCCCTCTTACAGAAGTCTATCAAATCATAATGAACTACTTGCTTCATCCTCAGGCCTTTTGTACAAGGAAACGCATTGCATAATAAGGACAAGGGATTGGCAATTAAAACCCAATATATTTCACAGCATATACTCATCTAAGATTTAACAAGCACGTGTGGTGTATGAGAGAGTGACAAGGCTGCCTGTTTAATTCGCATCGCGGGTTGTTGGTAAGTTTTGTTAAGCATTCAAACATTTATGTCAATTCACTTAGAGAGAGGTGTTGTATGTAGTATGGTTTTACGCCGCTTTCAGCAATATTCCAGCAATATCACGACGGGGGACACCAGAAATGGGCTTCACACATTGTACTCATGTGGGGAATCGAACCCGGGTTTTCAGCATGATGAGCAGACGCTTTAACCACTGGGCTACCCTACCGCCCCTCAGCATGGTACAAGACGAGGAGATTGGTGACAGAAGCTCACACAATGTCTCTGCAATAGTTTTCCCCCGATACATGATGTACATTGAGCCAAAACGAACGTAAACTTCAGAAACAGGAAATGTATAGCTTGAAACAACTATACTGGTTTAGTTTAGACATGTGTGCTCGTGAGTCACTATCCCATATAAACTCTTCATTATGAGGAACTTATGATTCATGTAAAATCCAATATAAATGACGGGCGGTGGGGTAGTCTAGTTGTTAAAGCGTTAGCTCGTCGCGCCGAATATCCGGGTTCGATTCCCCACATGGGTACAATATGTGAAGCATATGGTGTCCCCCCACCGTGATATTGCTGGAATATTGCTAAAGGCGGTGTTAAACCATACCCACTCAATGTAAATGCGATAATATTTTTGATCGGTGTTAGTGCTCAAACGTAATTTTTTCAAACATTTTACCTTTACACGTTTCATGTCACTGCACGAACATGTCATGTAAAGGAAATTAGAAAGAGAAAGGACGTTCACATTTTGGCAAAGCCCCGATCCCGGTACGAAATGTGTTCCAGACAGACAGATCATAGACCGCAGCTTCCGGGTACTTTTGTCTCGTGTAACAGGATATGAATTCAGACGCGATTCCAAAGCTTATACCATCTACAATGAGGCATATCCCACCACATGATGCCACAATTTTCATGACTTCCACAGTCTTCACAATGTTCACGTCTTCCCCAGCCTTCACAATGTTCACGTCTTCCTCAGCCTTCACAATTTTCATGCCTTCCTCAGTCTTCACAATTTTCATGTCTTTCCCAGCCTTCACAATGTTCATGCCTTCCCCTGTCTTCACAATGTTCATGTCTTTCACAGTCTTCACAATGTTCATGTCATCCCTGTCTTCACAATTTTCATGCCTTCCTCAGTCTTCACAATTTTCATGTCTTTCCCAGCCTTCACAATGTTAATGCCTTCCCCTGTCTTCACAATGTTCATGTCTTTCACAGTCTTCACAATGTTCATGTCATCCCTGTCTTCACAATGTTCATGCCTTCCTCAGTCTTCACAATTTTCATGTCTTTCCCAGCCTTCACAATGTTCATGCCTTCCCCTGTCTTCACAATGTTCATGTCATCCCTGTCTTCACAATGTTCACGTCTTCCCCAGTCTTCACAATGTTCATGTCTTCCCCTGTCTTCACAATGTTCACGTCTTCCTCAGTCTTCACAATTTTCATGTCTTTCACAGTCTTCACAATGTTCATGCCTTCCCCTGTCTTCACAATGTTCATGCCTTCCCCTGTCTTCACAATGTTCATGTCATCCCTGTCTTCACAATGTTCATGTCTTCCCCAGCCTTCACAATGTTCACGTCTTCCTCAGTCTTCACAATTTTCATGTCTTCCCCAGCCTTCACACTGTTCACGTCTTCCTCAGTCTTCACAATTTTCATGTCATCCCAGTCTCCACAATGTTCATGTCATCCATGTCTTCACAATTTTCATGTCTTCCTCAGTCTTCACAATGTTCATGTCTTCCCCAGCCTTCACAATGTTCACGTCTTCCTCAGTCTTCACAATTTTCATGTCATCCCTGTCTTCACAATTTTCATGTCTTCCTCAGTCTTCACAATTTTCATGTCATCCCAGTTTCCACAATATTCATGTCACCCCTGTCTTCACAATTTTCATGTCTTCCTCAGTCTTCACAATGTTCATGTCTTCCCCAGCCTTCACAATGTTCACGTCTTTCTCAGTCTTCACAATTTTCATGTCTTCCTCAGTCCTCACAATTTTCATGTCATCCCAGTCTCCACAATGTTTATGTCATCCCTGTCTTCACAATGTTCACGTCTTCCTCAGTCTTTACAGTTTTCATATCTTCCTCAGTCTTCACAATTTTCATGTCATCCCAGTCTCCACAATGTTCATGTCATCCCTGTCTTCACAATTTTCATGTCTTCCTCAGTCTTTACAATTTTCATATCTTCCTCAGTCCTCACAATTTTCATGTCATCCCAGTCTCCACAATGTTCATGTCATCCCTGTCTTCACAATGTTCACGTCTTCCTCAGTCTTTACAATTTTCATGCCTTCCCAGCCTTCACAATGTTCATGCCTTCCCCTGTCTTCACAATGTTCATGTCATCCCTGTCTTCACAATGTTCACTCTTCCCAGTCTTCACAATGTTCATGTCTTCCCCTGTCTTCACAATGTTCACGTCTTCCTCAGTCTTCACAATTTTCATGTCTTTCACAGTCTTCACAATGTTCATGCCTTCCCCTGTCTTCACAATGTTCATGCCTTCCCCTGTCTTCACAATGTTCATGTCATCCCTGTCTTCACAATGTTCATGTCTTCCCCAGCCTTCACAATGTTCACGTCTTCCTCAGTCTTCACAATTTTCATGTCTTCCCCAGCCTTCACACTGTTCACGTCTTCCTCAGTCTTCACAATTTTCATGTCATCCCAGTCTCCACAATGTTCATGTCATCCATGTCTTCACAATTTTCATGTCTTCCTCAGTCTTCACAATGTTCATGTCTTCCCCAGCCTTCACAATGTTCACGTCTTCCTCAGTCTTCACAATGTTCATGTCATCCCTGTCTTCACAATGTTCACGTCTTCCCCAGTCTTCACAATGTTCATGTCTTCCCCTGTCTTCACAATGTTCACGTCTTCCTCAGTCTTCACAATTTTCATGTCTTTCACAGTCTTCACAATGTTCATGCCTTCCCCTGTCTTCACAATGTTCATGTCATCCCTGTCTTCACAATGTTCACGTCTTCCCCAGTCTTCACAATGTTCATGTCTTCCCCTGTCTTCACAATGTTCACGTCTTCCTCAGTCTTCACAATTTTCATGTCTTTCACAGTCTTCACAATGTTCATGCCTTCCCCTGTCTTCACAATGTTCATGCCTTCCCCTGTCTTCACAATGTTCATGTCATCCCTGTCTTCACAATGTTCATGTCTTCCCCAGCCTTCACAATGTTCACGTCTTCCTCAGTCTTCACAATTTTCATGTCTTCCCCAGCCTTCACACTGTTCACGTCTTCCTCAGTCTTCACAATTTTCATGTCATCCCAGTCTCCACAATGTTCATGTCATCCATGTCTTCACAATTTTCATGTCTTCCTCAGTCTTCACAATGTTCATGTCTTCCCCAGCCTTCACAATGTTCATTGTCTTCCTCAGTCTTCACAATTTTCATGTCATCCCTGTCTTCACAATTTTCATGTCTTCCTCAGTCTTCACAATTTTCATGTCATCCCAGTTTCCACAATATTCATGTCACCCTGTCTTCACAATTTTCATGTCTTCCTCAGTCTTCACAATGTTCATGTCTTCCCCCAGCCTTCACAATGTTCACGTCTTTCTCAGTCTTCACAATTTTCATGTCTTCCTCAGTCCTCACAATTTTCATGTCATCCCAGTTCCACAATGTTTATGTCATCCCTGTCTTCACAATGTTCACGTCTTCCTCAGTCTTTACAGTTTTCATATCTTCCTCAGTCTTCACAATTTTCATGTCATCCCAGTCTCCACAATGTTCATGTCATCCCTGTCTTCACAATTTTCATGTCTTCCTCAGTCTTTACAATTTTCATATCTTCCTCAGTCCTCACAATTTTCATGTCATCCCAGTCTCCACAATGTTCATGTCATCCCTGTCTTCACAATGTTCACGTCTTCCTCAGTCTTTACAATTTTCATGTCTTTCCCAGCCTTCACAATGTTCATGCCTTCCCCTGTCTTCACAATGTTCATGTCATCCCTGTCTTCACAATGTTCACGTCTTCCCCAGTCTTCACAATGTTCATGTCTTCCCCTGTCTTCACAATGTTCACGTCTTCCTCAGTCTTCACAATTTTCATGTCTTTCACAGTCTTCACAATGTTCATGCCTTCCCCTGTCTTCACAATGTTCATGCCTTCCCCTGTCTTCACAATGTTCATGTCATCCCCTGTCTTCACAATGTTCATGTCTTCCCCAGCCTTCACAATGTTCACGTCTTCCTCAGTCTTCACAATTTTCATGTCTTCCCAGCCTTCACACTGTTCACGTCTTCCTCAGTCTTCACAATTTTCATGTCATCCCAGTCTCCACAATGTTCATGTCATCCATGTCTTCACAATTTTCATGTCTTCCTCAGTCTTCACAATGTTCATGTCTTCCCCAGCCTTCACAATGTTCACGTCTTCCTCAGTCTTCACAATTTTCATGTCATCCCTGTCTTCACAATTTTCATGTCTTCCTCAGTCTTCACAATTTTCATGTCATCCCAGTTTCCACAATATTCATGTCACCCTGTCTTCACAATTTTCATGTCTTCCTCAGTCTTCACAATGTTCATGTCTTCCCCAGCCTTCACAATGTTCACGTCTTTCTCAGTCTTCACAATTTTCATGTCTTCCTCAGTCCTCACAATTTTCATGTCATCCCAGTCTCCACAATGTTTATGTCATCCCTGTCTTCACAATGTTCACGTCTTCCTCAGTCTTTACAGTTTTCATATCTTCCTCAGTCTTCACAATTTTCATGTCATCCCAGTCTCCACAATGTTCATGTCATCCCTGTCTTCACAATTTTCATGTCTTCCTCAGTCTTTACAATTTTCATATCTTCCTCAGTCCTCACAATTTTCATGTCATCCCAGTCTCCACAATGTTCATGTCATCCCTGTCTTCACAATGTTCACGTCTTCCTCAGTCTTTACAATTTTCATGTCTTCCTCAGTCTTCACAATTTTCATGTCATCCCAGTCTCCACAATGTTCATGTCATCCCTGTCTTCACAATTTTCATGTCTTCCTCAGTCTTCCCAATGTT